TTAAACGTTGATTAAAAGTGGTAAAAATTCCTAATTTTTTAGACTTAAACGTTGATTAACACCATAGATTGAGAGTCTATATTTAGTAAAATTCCTAATTATAATAAAAAAATTAATTTTTGCTATATTTTAGAATATATTTAAATTTATTATAAAAAAAAACTACAATGAAAAAAACAAGTCAGTTATATATCGATTTGTTGTACTCCTCAAATCACATTCACAATTTGGCTACAAGGAAAGGAAACTCATTGATTAAAATATTATTTTGTCAGTAGTCTTAATGTACAAGAGACTTTAAGACTCCACTTGAATATTATAAAACTTTTATTGAACATTGTACAATTTTCTTGCGTATTATAAACTTTTATTGAATATGGCATCTTATAATATAATATTCTCCAAATAAATATATCTCGTGCTTTGCACGGGTCATGTACTATATATATCCCATAAATTTTTCTTTATTCATGTATATAATTATAAGTCTGGATAAATAGCCTTAAAATTGTGCACCTCGTGCATCGCACGGGCTCTGTACTAGTTATATGAAAAAATCTATAGATGTAAAAGAAGATATATTTATAAAAAATTAAATCATTGAATTAATTGATATGTGCTCATGTTTGGGATTAATTATTGCAAAATATTTTAATTAATTAGAAAAGTTAAGAATATGGATGTGGGGGATTAACCGTTTGAATACACACACATTGTCACACATTTACATAGACACACACAACTACGTGTGGAATGTGTGGTTAAGAACCCCATGATGGGGTAACATGTAATTTTCCCAAGAAGAAATAAAGGAAATTAAAATTATACCAGATCTATATAAATTCTATAGCCTTTTTCAAGTCATCTTAAAACTCTAGCTCGAGATGCACATCCATACCTTCTTTTAGCTCAAACATGGTCACGTCATCTTGGGATGCTAACTGAGGTGTACTTACGATATTCTTTAGCTCGAGCATCATAAGGTCATCCCAAGTCGCTACTTGAGATAACTCATTGTAGTCGAATCCGACCTCTGTAATCCTTCGTTCTTGTATTTAGAAATAAGACTTAAGCTATTATTTAACTGATATAGCAGACAATATCTGGAAAATAAAAGTCTAGCATGCTACTTACTAATTTGTAGGGATGGCAATGGGCCAGGTCGGGCCGGGTAGTTATGGACCCAAACCTGGCCCGCACCTTTGCCCCATGGACCCGACCTGGCCCGTGACCCGTGACGGGTCTAACCGTCCAAGCCCGTGCCCTGACCTGTTCTGGGGCGGGTCGCCCCACCCCGCCCCGTCCTGTCCAAATTCATCCCAAAACGAAACGTCCAAATCCAATCCCAAAAAAATGAACCAGATTTAAAAAAAAAAATAAAAATAAAAAAATCAAAGAACACCAAAATTCTTCATACATACTTCCAACTTTTCCAATTTCTAAAATTTTTGAGACCATCCGTGTCCTCACTCTCTCATTTCAAGACTATTTTATCCCATTTGTTCTAACCTCATAAAACAATTTTCACTGGTGGCTAAACAGTGTTCTCAAAAAGCCCGCGGGCTGGGCTGGTAACGTGCGCCAGGGGACATGTCTCGCTCGCTGTTTCATTGGCCCTCAAATTTTCGCCGCGAAACTCCACTGCCAGTCCAAGGCCGTCAATGAACAACAACAATTGAGAAGAGTGGAGAAAAGGGAAGGGCGGCGGTAGAGATAGAGATGAAGAATTAATTTGGGCTTGACCATTTTGTTAGCAATTTTAATACTGATTTTAATACTTAAAATATGTGTAGGAGTTTGGGCCTAAAAAACGTTGTGCTAATGGGCTTTAGTTTATGCCACACCCATTACCTAATATAAGTTAGAAACTACAAATATACTTACAGGTCGGGGCGGGGCGGGGCGGGACAGGTCGGGCCAGGTTGGATTTCAGTACCCGGACCTGCCCCGTTTATAAAATGGGTCGGCCCGACCTGACCCGTTTTTGGAAACAGGGCGGGTCAGGTCCGCCCCAAATGCCTCGGGGCGGGGCGGGCCAATACGGGTCCGGGCCAAATTGCCATCCCTACTAATTTGTTCTTACCTTTATCCTCTACAGTTTGTTGAATAATAAGATATCAACTTATTATGAAATGAGACCATAAAGGCACGATTGACTTCAGATTAAAACTGGTTTTGATCGATTAGAATTTTTTTTTTAAACTCAAAATTTAGTTTAAATTTAATCCAACTCAACTCCCATTAATATTATCAATATAATTAAATAATATAACTCAATTATCCTTACATATCACATCAACTTTAATTCACTACTATTCGTCCACTCGCATATTTTTAATTACCTACATTTTAATCATTTTTTTTTTTTGCCAAAACGATAGAGATATTATATATAACCGAATAAACGTACAAAAGGACAGCCACCAACTGAATACAAACAGCCAAAAGCTGAATACAAACAATCAATAGCTGAATAAAGTGGGAGGACAGTCAATGACCGCCTAGAGCCGACTCCAACGGGGTAATACTCACAAACACACAAAAACATTAACACACATAAAAACAACGAAACTAAAAAGACCCCAACAGGGTAATACCCGAGTATCTGATCACAACAAGGTAAGAAGGTGACACTCGGGCTAACCGGGGCCAACGACCCAAACCTAAAACACAAAGACAAACACAAACACAGACAACACAATATAGACAAAAACACAATAAAAAAAAACAACAAACATCTAATGACGACACATAGTGCCCTTCCCCAACAAATAAAGCAGATCGAACCAGTAGAGAACCAATCAATCCAAGAAAGGTCTGAAGCCCGAGGCCCAACTTCCGAAACTGCTGCCGAACACCTATGCAAAAGCCAAACCCGGACCTCGAGACTAACCCGAATCAACCCACCTTCGACCGAGAGGACAACCAGCTCCCTGCAACAGCCCCGCACTAGCTCGCCTAACACCACTAGTCGAGCTAATAGGCGTCGGGCCCACCAAGTTCCCAACACCAGAGAATCGAATGGAAAGAGAGCTGCCCGTACCTGCTACTCCCGCACCCCGACGGAATACATCACGGCCGCCGGAGCCTCGATCCGCCCGCCGACCAACACGCCTCCCAACACCACCGCACGCCGCTGCCATCGCGAGCTCGAGCCCCAAAATCAAAACCCAGAAGCCCATCCTGAACCGATGAACCTCCAAGCATCCACCCGATGCAATTGAGTGGTGAACCATCCAATCAAAGACCACCGGCTTCCAAGGAAACTACCCGCCTCAGATCGAACACCACCGCAGTCACAGCTTGCCGACGACCTCGGGCAGAGCACACATCAGAGCGACCCGTTGCAGCCCGAAAGAGGCGCGATGGCGGGGGACGGCCGAGCGATCGAGGGTAACGACTGGCCTGAGCCGCCCCTTCGCCGGAGAAGGCTAATCACAACGAAATTGTCTGTCGGGAACTAGGGTTTTCGTCAGGAACGCAGAGAGAGAAAGGGAAATTAAAAAAATCTTGATATTTTTAGTCATTGCATTTTAAATATTATTTATAATCCAACTCAAAATTTCTCTCAATCAACTTTATTCAAAATTACGTCACTTTAACTCAAATCTAAATAAAATTGATTTTAATTTATATCCAATCTTCCATGTGACCATATTTATCCACAACTCAACTCAACCCAACATAATAATTAAAAATTATTTTTCTCTCATTCACTTATACAACGCAACATTTAAACTTAAATTAAAGTTATCCCCAACCGAACACGACCTAACATAATTATTTTATTTTTATTTATTTAGAAATTGCTATTATGTACCAAAATATATCCAATGTGGTGTCTATTTATAGAAAATAAAAAAAAAATATTAATTTTAATAATTTTTATTTATTTTTTAATGCAAAAAAATACATTTATCCAATAGAAATGGAACAAGTGTCCTAGTCACCACAGTGATGACCTTTCTTATTATTATTATTATTATTATTATNGACCCAACTCTTGGGTAACAAATAAACAGTGTATCGTCACATTCATCTCTTTGCGCTAGAGTGGAGTAAAATAATCCTCCAACCTAGCACTATAATTTTGCTTTATTTCAGAAAAATGAACAGTGTCGCGCCACATCTAGCGCAACACTATAGCTTACGCTACATATTTTTTCGTTTAATGTATTTTAATAAATATTATTGGTAAATTTTCGTATAATATGCATTAGTATACATATTTGTTTTATGTTAAATAATTTTATGATTTTTATTTATTGATGTATTATCATTTGCATCATTAGTCGAATGATCTATACGAGCCCACTCCTTTAGTCTACAGTCTAGAGTAGAGTTTATACTAGAGTAAAGTAAGCTAAAATTTAAGTTTGATCTCCAATTTTGCGCATTACATTTTATTCAAAAATTAAATATATTATTTTTTTATTAATTTTTATTTCAAATAATTGTACTATCTATGTATATTTAATCTTATATAAATTTTTGTTACTCAAATAATATAAATATGTTTATATATAACAATACGAGAATATTTCATAAATTCAAACAACAAAAATACAATTACATAATAACAATGTTGATTTTATTTGTGTACTTTGTGATTTACATGTTTTGTAAACTTTTATTGGAATGAAATCTACCTGTTCTGTTTTGTTAAATTATTATTCATATTGTACAATTTTAATATTAAAAATTCGTTGAGCAATTGATTGGAGCATGGCTTTGTCGACAATTATAGGTAATTTATTAGATGTTTGTTGGCTATTTGCAACTCAATAAATAAATGAAAAATTGAAAAGGAAGGGGAGTTGGACTGTTGGAGTGTACCGTGTACACACATATAACACAACAAGGTTTGTTTTGTTAGGTACAACCAACGGTGGTGATGCATTTGTCCATGACCAAACCAACGGTCCGCTACGTGTCCCCTAAATTCTCGTATATATGAAAGGTAGGTAGGGTAATATTATTAATTTTATCATCAATTCTCTTCATTATATATAAGATATATGTCTCATTTGAACTTCAAACAACTTCATTTCATTAACTACACTATCACACAACATAATTGGGTAACTGGTTGATCAAAATCACCATACGATACGAGTGAGTAGTTTCTCTGTTTCCTCCTTTTCTCACGACTATAACTTGAATGAAATCTACTAATTTATTTATGGTCAAAACTCCTTAGAATATTGTTCGTTAATTTGTATTTGCAGTGGGCAGTGTTGGGAGTGAGACAGTGATGGTGGATGGGATCCCTTTCCCTTCAAACCTCAGCCAACTCTCCTTATTTGCCAATGGTACGTATATATATATCCGTTTTGTTACCCAATATCCTTAATATTATACAGTTCGCCTTTGCAAATAATAGAAGAGTATATGACGTACAGGGATTACGGATATAGAGATACACTTCCTCCAAATCAAATTCACAGCAATAGGAGTTTACATTGATCCCCAAGTTGTGTCCCATTTAACCAAATGGAAGGGGAAATCAGAAGCTGAGCTAGCACAAGATGACGAATTTTTTGAGGCCATAATCTCAGGTGATTAGATTTGCAATTATTGTCTTTCAAATATACAAATAAATGTGTTAACAAGAAAGAAAGAAAGAATTATATCATCGTATAATCCGAAAATTGCAGCTCCAGTGGATAAGGCAGTGAGAGTGGTGGTGATTAAGGAAATCAAAGGGTCACAATTTGGGGTACAGATTGAGAGTGCAGTTAGGGACCGTTTGGCGGAAGCTGATAAATACGAAGAAGAAGAGGAAGAAGAACTAGAGCAAGTCGTTGCCTTTTTCCAGTCTAAATATCTGAAGCCAAACACTGTCCTCACTTTTCATTTCCCCGCGGCTTCTACTCCTACTGCTGAGGTAAAACTTTGTTCAATAAATTGCGACCTTTCTTCTCTAGTCTATCTATTCTACTACAAAAAAAGATCAAAATTGAAGTGAATATTTAACCAATTAAAATATTATTATAAGTATGTAGATTGGATTTTCAAGTGAGGGAAAAGAAGAGTCGAAATTTGAAGTGAAGAATGGAAATGTGGTGGAGATGATAAAGAAATGGTACTTGGGTGGGCCCACCTCAGTTTCCCCCACAACCATCAGATCTTTGGCTGCTGGACTATCTGCCGAGTTATCGAAATAAAATCGATTAATTTTAATTAATTATTAAAGCTTGGCGGAAAATGGAGGATTTGTATGTGGGTGGATCTCTCTTTGTTTGTAGGAGGACGGAAGGGAAGCTACTTTGTCTTTTTATGTGTATAAATTCATTGTTAAGAGCGTGCAAGCTTTGATGAGCTTGCAATAATGACTGGAAATCTGATACAGTATTCAGAAATTCCTTCCTTGGTTATTTTCCTCGTCGTGTACATTTTATCTGTGTATTATTTGTAGACATGTCAAATCGGGCCTGCAGGGCAGGCTCACCCGCAGCCTGCCAAAATCTGTCGTTTGGCGGGCCCGCCCCGCCATCCCGCCATATATTAAAAAAAAAAAGAAAATAAAAATTTGGGAGCAAGGCAACATCGAGAATTTAGAGTTCAAAAACCAGAGCTGAGATATTGTTGAAATACCCGTAAAACATAAGTACGTACACTCCACATTGAAGCTCGAACTTAACATCATCATAAATTGTACAATAAACACGGCCACCACAAATTGCTAAGCATAGCATGACGACCACAAACACAAAGCATAACACCCCTTTAATAAAAAAAATATTTGTAGACCATTCACCTAAGTCTCAAACTAAGCCAGACAAAAGGCTAGTGAAGTTAACTAACAGAACATTAATTCATCTAATCAAGCTTGCGAATTTGAGGATCAATTTGTAAGAAATTTAACGGGCATATTCATAACTATCAAACGGAATTGAATAAACCCTACGTACGTAATTCTATTAATTCATAGAATATGGATCTTTGCATAAATTAAATTGCACATATAACTTACAAGAATCCAGCTTATAGTCCTTCCCTGTTTTCTTGATCTATGATGTTGATTTGCGATCTCTTCCTCGTAATCTCATGGATCTATCTTTCTCATAATCTCCAATGATGGATTCGTCTTTGCCTATGAATTGTTTCTCTCTCCCGCGTCTCTCGTCTTTTCATAAAGCCCTTGATGTTGAGAACTTTATTTTCGTATAAGATGGGAGAGAGGGGCATGTAGTATATATAGGAGAAATCCTACAAACCTATTCCTACTAACATTCCCCATGTTCTAACCCTAACTTAATGTCCAAGTCAAACATCACAAATTGGACTCTTTAATATTAGAACATTAATAATCCATTAAATATATATTCACCTTAAATAAGTTTGACTATTAATTCAATTAGGTTCAATTAATTATATGGTCTACAATAATAGAATAATATAAAATATTATTACATTCTCCCACTTGGACCATATAGTGTCGAAACCCAAAGAACTACTTTAAGCGCGCACCTTTCATCAAACTTATAATTGAATACATATATCTATAAATTTAAAATCAAACTAGAAATTAACCGAGTCATGGCGGTCACAAGTCTTCGAGCGACATGATCCCTTCCATGTACCACAAATCATTTCTAATTCAACTTTGCTTTAATATGGAACAAGCTATTCGTACCATAACCATAAGCCATCCAACTTTTATGTATATACTATAAAATCAAATATCCATAATGATGGTATTATATGTGAAGAATTAAACATCTTTAATAGAATTCAATAAGTGTCAAAATCATTAATTGAGCAATTTCATTTTGTATCGGTCAGTCCAACAAGGCCCCATTCGTTATTCCCAATTTTCTTTATATGCCTTGCAACGGCTATAGGGAATAACCCTTTAATGGATCCACTTTCATGCAATTAGTACTAAAATGCTCAAATGACACTTTATTTCTTCACTTATATTTTACGACCAAGTATTTAAATTTTATGTGATTCACACCCTTTGAATACTTGTCATACCTTTAAATATTATTGCTACAATGCTACGATAATTCTTAGCGGCTTGGACAAGATGTTGACATTTTCAAGTCCTAAGATAAAGCACCGTAGCCCTAAATTTGACTTGTGGCCTCAAAGCATACCACAAACTCAACCCTACACCGTGGAAGTCGCGATGATGGACTTTTGTACCACCTTTCCATAATTTTGCTCCTTTAGACATTATGAGCAAAAGTCTGAATCCGGGTATCCAATTATAACCAATAATTTGGATCTTCATAAGTTAGCATGTGTTCTTTAATGCCTTGTAAGTACTTTAAAAATTTCTTTGCAGCATAATCATTTAAAATCATTTTAATAGTTGTTTAACGTACCAACAACAAATATATTATCAAACCTTGTACAGGTTCGTCTCGCTTAAGACTCCTAATCGTTTATATCTAAGGAATTTCCTCCATCACTTTTCATTCCATTTCACCTTTCGAACATTTATTTTAGACTAAATGTGTCCCTTTTATGAATTGGAATTATACAGAAAAATCATCCATTATCTCTCAAATAAAACTTTTATAGGATAAACTTTTAGTCCTTGTGATCTATTCTGGAATATTTTTATTCCAATTATCAAGGACGTTTCATCCACATCCTTTATTTCATAACTTCTTAGAGAGATAATACTTTACTTCGTGCAACATGTCCACATTATTAACAACTATAATATGTCATCGACATACGAAACTAAATAACAAATCTACTCCCACTGGCCTTAATGTAGATACACCGATCTACGGTATTCTCTACAAAACCATAAGCAGTGATGGTATCATTAAACTTAAGATACCATTGACGAGAGACTTATTTTAGTCCATATATCGATCCATTCAACTTACACACTAATGTTTCATTTCTTGTGATCTAAAAAACTTTTAATTAGTTCATGTAGATCTCCTTTTTAAGTTTATCATTTAGAAGGTGATCTTTATGTCCATTTGATAAAGCTCAAAATCATACAAAGCCAGCATTACCATTACAATTGTCAAGGAATCTTTCTCAAAACGGGAGAGAGTGTTTTCTTGTAGTCAATGCCTTTCTTTTGGGTGTAACCTTTAGAAACAAGTCTAACTTTATATCTTTCGATATTACCTTTAGAGTCGTGTTTGGTTTCGAAAAACCCATTTACACCCAACTCTTTTACACCCTTCAGGTAAATCTATTGATTTCAAGACTTTATTTTCATCCATTGACTTTAATTCTTCTTTCATGACATTGAAAAACTTTTCAGAATTTTTTTTTTCATGGCTTGTGATTTCATCAACCAAAGGTTGTCCTATAATTTCTTGAGTGTTTCTAACCGATTCATTATCAAGTGAGTATGGATCATTTTGTTATTCATCCAAGATACATGACGTTACTGTAACAAAATGAATAACAACTATTGATGGACTCTCGGGTTTGGACTGTTCAACCTGAGTTTCTTTGACATCCAAACTTTGCAGTTCCAAACTCCCACTAATTTGATCATTTTTAATGAATCGAGCATTGCTGGAATCAACTATTCTCGTACTATGATTAGGCATGTAAAACTTATATCCTTTAAAACTTTTTCCGAATAGCCAATGCATAACCACTGGTTGTCCTAGGATTAAGATTCTTTTCATGTGAATTATATACTTTTACTTCTGCTTGACACCCCCAAACATGAAGGTGCCTCAAACTAGGTTTCCCACTCTTCTATAGTTCATAATAGGAACTACTTTACTAGGAACCCGGTTTACCCAATATGCAGCAATCTTTAACACATGCATCCACATAGAAAACATTAATGTTGAATTACTCAACATACTCGTAACCATATTCTTTAATTACGATTTATCCTCTCAACAACACCATTATGTTGAGGAGTCTCAATTATAATGTATTGTACACAAATATTTCAAATCTCAAGAAACTTTGCAAATGGATTAGGACATTATCCTCTTTTATTGAACTTACAATAATATTCACCACTCTAATGAGATCTCACAACTCTTACTTATTTATCTAACTACCTCTCCATCTCATCATTGTATATCTTTAGATAGTTCAATGATTGAGTCATTTCATATAGTAGATAAATATAACCATAATGTGAGAAATCATTTATAATGGTGATTACTTTATACCGCCCCCACAAGGGAACGTCGAATAGACCACAAAAAATTAGTTTAAATAAGTTATAAGATTTTAGTGCTTCTATCGGCAGATCTCTTTAATGTATGTCTAGTTTGCTTTTCTTTAATTCATTCTATACATACATCTTGATCACTAAAATCCAAATGAGAAATGGTTTCATTATTCACCATTCTCAAAAACTTTTCTTCGGATATGTGACCTAATATTTGATGCCATAAGAGAGCAGAAATTTAATTATGTGCACTACGTTTAACCTCAAAATAAATATGAGATACATAAGTAGTTGCACAGAACCAAGCCACCAAGTATTATTGGGAATCTTTAAAAAATTTGATTCACAACATACGAAAATTTAATGTATGTCTTTCTTTTCGAATCAAGATTTTATTTTGGGCAATCTTTCCTGAGGTGGCCTAACCTTTTACAGAAATAACACCTCATTTCTTTAATGATTGGACCTATAAAAACTTTAAGTAAGTCAACCTTCTTTTATTTGCCTTCATTTCCCATTTTATCATACTATTATTGGCTCCCACATGAGAATCGACTCTTCTTTCATCTCATTTATTCCCGCCTCTTCCTGCACCAGCATAGCCTTATTTTCCTTACAATCCCATTTATCTATAATGGTGTTACAGTTCACCTAGGATTGGCCAAACTCGACAGGTAGGGAGTTCATGATGAATAGAACCATAAATGAGTCTATCACATTCATTCTCATGTTTGTAAGTTTTAGCTTATATGTTGAACATGTGGGTCACGAAATCATAGATGGAACGGAATCAGATGAACTTTTATAGTGGTAAGCTCGCTAATGAAACTTCCACAACAACATTTTCCGTAATTTGAAATGGAGATAATTCCTTAATCATTCCTAGGAATTCTTTCGCATTGTCAGCCTTTGGCATTGAAACTTTAATGTTATCCGCCATGGTTAGTTTCATAAAATTCAAGCACAACCTATTTGATCGCTCCCAAGCCGTGCGAAGAGATACCTCTTCTACGGAGCTTTCATCAATAATGGTTGCGGGTACCTCATCACTAACTAGAGCTATATCCAAATTCATAGCACCTAACTGAAAATGGATGTGCTCAGACCATTCATTGAAGTTCAGCCCATTGAATTTTTCCAACTATAATACTGTACGGATAACCAAATTTTGAACGCTGCAAACTTTAATACATGCTATTTAATTAAGCTTTGAAAGGAAATTAATGGATTCAGAAATCTTTTAAATTATATATTTAAATATACCTTTGGGCAAATACTTAAATATATAATATACTTGATTGATGCCTAAGAGGAAAGATCTTTAATAGAAATTATAGGTATTGTGATTAATTAGTGGTTATCTTTGGACAAACACACTAATTAA